AAAAAAAAAAAAAAAAAAAAAAAAAAAAAAAAAAAAGAAGAAGAGCAGCTTAATTCCGAAAGCATTCAGTAACACCTCTTCCTCTGCACAATGCATACAGCCTACTTTAAAATTTTGTATTTTGCCAGCAGCAGAGATCCACTCCTGAGACAGACCTGCCTGATGAAAAGACAGTGTTCTTGCATATCTTGTTCAAGTCTCCGAATTCAAAGCATTTATACATAGTAGACAGAAAATTGGTACTAAATGGTGGCAAGAAAAAAAGACCAAAATGCTGCAATGCACCCAGCCTGAACTGGAATTAAGATAGGACTTAAATTTTTTTACTTCTTCCCAGCATTCAGAACTGGAGATGAGCACTGAACTTCACACTACCTTTTCTATCTGCCCTCTGCCATTGTCTCAAAGCTGCAGACAGAGGTTGGACAACATTTACTACACTGCCTCTTTTGCATAGTTCCCTGAAAAACATCACATATCCTGATAACCCTCAAACTGAAGAATGGAAAAGGGCTGTTTAGGAATACAGCATTCATCTTTACTACATACCGAATCATAAAAATATGAACCCAAATGGCAAAAGTGAAGAAGAGTAAGCATATGAAGAAGTGAAGTATACTTTGTCCAGAAGAGATTCCTGTCTTTGAGGTGTTTTACAATTATTTTTTGTGACTTATCTAGCGAGACTATTTCTTCACTACAGATAAAGTAGGGATTATCTTAACTATCCTCACTGATACAAATTGCATCCAGTGGAATACGTCTGGAAATGACAGGCAGCCTAGGGAAGACCAGGTACAATGAGAAGCAGGAAAAAGGAACCCAAGAGTTTCCAACAATATTTACTAGAAGACTGCTTCTATGCTATGGAGATAAATATTATAGAATTCACCTCTCACGTGATTTCCTATTTTTTATGTACAGATACATACACATGCATATTCCTTTTCTATGCTTTTGAGAATGAGCTCCTTACCATTTTAGATTTGGTCCACGAATTATGAAATCAAACACACTTTATCCTGCTTGAACTGCTTCAATTCTGACTGCCTTTCCAAAACACCCTAGGTGCTATCACAATGGCCCATTCTGACAAGCTTAGGTGTCAAAAGAAAATCAATTATGCCCAACTCCAAAAACTAAGGCACAGAAGCTGCATGCAGGATGGAAGAGAAGAGGGAGTTGAGAGGACTCCCTGCTGGACAGGGTACAAGTATATAACCTTTCCTTCCCTTCTTCACTATTTAGTTAGTGAGAATATAAACTCTAGGAAACTACTAGGCTTTGCTCAAGACAGATGAAAGCCTGAAATTAACTATGAATTGTGCAACACTGTCTGCTAACTGCTGGATTGTTTTATTGTCTTATCATGGTAGGCTTTTGTACAAGTTCCCTTTTATGTTTTTATTTCTTACTTCTTAATTAAATGCATTAATCAACCTTTAGGACTCATTTTTATATTTCTGCATATAAAAAGAATGATTTCCGAAGACCAGGGGAATCACATGCTGAACAAGCTTTGCTGTAATCCTCATGTTATTCTCTTGGCCTTTTGCTATATCTTGATTTCCTGCTCAGCAGCTTACTTGATAAATAGCCTACCCAGGACCACATAATCCCTTTTTCTCACTTGCTATTCAGCCTGTTGCCCGAAATCCCTTTCTTTTCCAGAACCCATCCACTAACTACTAAACTTTGAGTTTCTGCTTTCTACATGTTTCACTGGATGAAGAACACTGTTCTTCATTCTGTTTCCCATCTCCTAACAGGCTATTCCTTAAAGTTTCTGTACCCTTCCAAGCTTTACCTCTCAGCATACAACTAACTGACCACTCTCAACATCTCACTACTGTATCATAACATACTGATAAAACTTTCAGAGCTCCTGCTCTATCTTACCTGCCAGCATTCTTCACAAAACCCAGGTCAGCAAGTGCTACATCGCAGAGCTCACAGCGGAAACACTCTGGGTGCCAGTTATTGTTCATTGCCTTGATAACACGCCCAATAATGAACTCACCTGCAAAAGGAAAGCAACACCTTGAGATGCATGCAGAAAACAGTCTTATCAAAAGGCTACTGCCCTTCATAATCCTTCCATTTTAATTCCACAAAAACTATTACAGTCTAACTTTGAAAAAAAAAAAACAAAAACAAACCCAAACAATTATTCCCACAATCAGCATGCTCCCTCCAGAGCTCCTGCTCCTTAAAATGACCTCAGCCATCCCAGCCCAGGGCTGGATGTCACTGCAATGGTGGGAGGTTTGCACAGCCCTGTAGCTTTTACCCCACAGTGTTGACATGTGCCACATCTTACCACATTCCCCGCAGCAAGGAGCAAACAGCATCTGAAAGTCATGCTCACAGTACTTCCGACCTTCAAACTGTGAACAAAACAAGAGAGAAGGAGCCCTCATGAATAACTTAACTACTCTTATGTCCTGATAGTTCAGCAAATTCAAATGACCAATTCACAGAATCACAGAATGGTTGGGGTTGGAAGGGACCTCTGGAGATCATCTAGTCCAATCCCCCTGCTAAAGCAGGTTCACCTAGAGCCGGTTGCACAGGATTGTGTCCAGGCGGGTTTTGAATATCTCCAGAGAAGGAGACTCTACAACCTCTCTGGGCAGCCTGTTCCAGTGCTCTGTCACCCTCAAAGTAAAGAAATTCTTCCTCATATTCAGATGGAACTTCCTGTGTTTCAGTTTGCGCCTGTTGCCCCTTATTCTGTCGCTGGGCACCACTGAAAAGAGTCTGGCCCCATCCTCCTGACACCTGCGCTTCAGATATTTTTATGTGTTGATAAGATCCCCTCTCAGTCTCCTCTTCTCCAGGCTGAACAGACCCAGCTCTCTCAGCCTTTCCTCATAAGAAAGATGCTCCAGTCCCCTAATCATCTTTGTAGCTCTCCGCTGGGCCCTCTCCAGTAGTTCCTTGTCTTTCTTGAACTGGGGAGCCCAGAACTGGACACAGTACTCCAGATGTGGCCTTACCAGGGCAGAGTGGAGGGGGAGGACCTGCTGGCCACACTCTTCCTAATGCACCCCAGGATGCCATTGGCCTTCTTGGCTGCAAGAGCACATTGCTGGCTCACGGTTAACTTGTTGTCCACCAGGACTCCCAGGTCCTTCTCCATAGAGCTGCTTTCCAGCAGGTCAACCCCTAACCTGTACTGGTGCATGGGGTTATTCCTCCCCAGGTGCAGGACCCTACATTGCCTTTGTTGAACTTCATTAGGTTCCCCTCTGCCCAACTCTCCAGCCTGTTCAGGTATCGCTGAATGGCAGCACAGCCTTCTGGTGTATCAGCAGCTCCTCCCAGTTTTGTATCATCAGGAAACTTTCTGAGGGTACACTGTGTCCCTTCATCCAGATCATTGATGAGTAAGTTGAACAAGACTGGACTCAGTACTGACCGCTGGGGAACACCGCTAGCTACAGGCCTCCAACTAGACTGCACCGCTGATCACAACCCTCTGAGCTCTGCCATTCAGCCAGTTCTCAATCCATCTCACTGTCCACTCATCTAACCCACATTTCCTGAGCTTACCTATGAGGATGTCATAGGAGACAGTGTCAAAAGCCTTGCTGAAGTCAAGGTAGACAACATCCACTGCTCTCCCCTCATCTACTCAGCCAGTCATGTCATTGTAGAAGGCTATCAGATTCGTCAAGCATGATTTCCCCTTGGTGAATCCATGTTGACTACTCCTGATAAAGTTCTCTACCTCCACATGCTTAGAGATGACATCCAGAATGAGCTGTTCCATCACCTTCCAGGGATGGAGGTGAGGCTGACTGGCCTGTAGTTTCCTGGGTCCTTTTTGAAGATTGGAGTGACATTGACCAATTAGTCAAGGTCAGTCAAGTTTTCCAGTTCTAGCCCCCCCTCACCTGTTTTTAAACTCCTAAGGATTTTTCTTAAAGAAATATCCAAATATGGCTTCAGCCTCATGGTGAATTTGCATAGCAAATAGTTAAATTAATAGCAATGCTGCTACAAGACAGTAAAAATCTTGACATATCCAAAACCCTTTTCCTATAGTTGGCTTTAATTTCATTTTTGCTTTAGGTCTTTTTACTAATGTAATTCAGAACTACTCCTCCTACACGAGGCTAAAACTCATGGCAAATTAAGAATGCAGCATGTTTAAAATAATGTGTTATTCAAAATACGTGCTTGCACATATTCTGTAAAAATATTTCAACCTTGTTTTTAAGCGGTTTCACCAATTTCAGTTGCCCAACTAGAAAAGTTTGGTACAAAATATCTAAAAATAAAGACAAAAATTCGCTTATGTCTAATGAAACATTAAGAAACATTTTCTATTTTCTGTTTGAAATACCTCTTACCCAAAGAGGAAGCATACAGTTTTTGTTGTTACTGATGTATAGGAAGAAGTATGTGAGAAGAAAAAAAAGAAAATTAAGTTGGAAGCCCCTCAAAAAAATAGCAACACAGGTTTAGGGCTAAGAAATTAAACATGCAAGAAAGATGCCAATTTGTATTTCTGACAGAATTATCACCTAATTCCTTGCATTTTAATGGAGATATTTCTCTTCTCTTACACACAGTGTGAGACCTCACCTCATAAAAAAGTCCATCTGGGAACTGACGAAAACACTGAGCACAGACAAAGCAGTTTTCATGATAGAGCTCCCCATTGCTGTTCACAATCCTCTCTGCAGGATCAAATCGAGTCTGGCAGCGTTCACATACTGCATTTGCAAGAGCATCAGACATATTACTGGAATAAAGACAAGAGTAAGAACATGAGCAATGTCACAGCCAATCACATGAGTATAATCATATCATCCAAGTTCCCCCAACATCTATGAACACATTTCCACTGCTTTAAACTCCCTTTCACATGAAAAAAGACCAATGAGTCAATTCGGCACTGACATCAGTTAGAAATAATGTTCTTGCAACTCACATGTGGCAGAATGAGCTCATGTAGCAGACTTACCTATTGCACACTTTTGGCTGCTTCACCAGTCTTTCACCCCATTATGTCATCCTGCTAATAGCTCATACCAAATATGCACAATTTTAAATAAACCAGCAGTTCAGAGAGCAGCAAACACAATGATCCTGACTTCTTGGGATTTCTGGTCTCAGGAGGTGCACCTCTGAGGATTTTCTGATGTGTAATAAGCACTAATATCCCACTGCAGTCTCCCCTTCACTGTAAGAATTAACAGGGCATTTCCCCCTCTAGCCAGCATCTTATGTGCACAAGATTCATTGGAAAATAATTGCATACAATGCCTCTGTCTTCCTGACAAATTAGTTGAAAATGTCAAAGTGTTAAAAAGGTATGGGAAAAGAGAAGTCTGGCTGGCTGGCTTGGCAAATACATCAGCTTCATTTCCTCAGAAAGTGAGGCTAAAAAAAAACCCCAAAGCCATGCTCACAAATCGTGTAAAGGACATTTCCTCTGTCTCCTCTAAAATGCGGAACGACCCTAACCTCTTTCACAAAATTTTCATGCTTGCCATCCTGGTAATCTAAGTTCTCTATATACTAACAGAACGTAGTTTTAAAATCGTATCTCGCTGTCCAAACAGAGAGGGAAAAATTATAAGGAAAGAGTCTCAGTTGCTTTTTGCAAGGTGATCTTTCTTTTAACCACCAGACTATTCAATAATATAAAAATTCAATATTGTTACACTTCTAGATATAGAAAAACTATTTTATGCCTTCTGGGCACCTTCGGAATTCTATGATTGGAAAGATAGCAGTTTTATAGGTGGAGTATAAAAAATTTCCAGCATGTTAAAAATCTCTGAAATATTTGTGTAGTAGTTTTTCTGAAGCACATAACGTACACATAAAATGAAAGATGGCATGGTTTAAAAGGTCTTTTTTCTTTCTTTTTATATTCAAAGCTACTTTGAACTGAATTTCCATCGCTAGTGTTATTCTATAACCTGACATGTTACTTTCCACACCTCTTCATAGAGAACAGTAATTCAACAAGCATGTTCCAGTAGCAGAAGATTCTCTTTCCTCTGGTCAGAGACACCCCTACAAAAACATGCCACTGGTTGTATTCCAGGGCTTTGTGCTCTGAGCGCAACTAGAACGAGCAGGCAGCAGAGCAGGCAGCAGCCTCATGCTCCTGAGGCAACAAAACCAGCCCTGTGCTTCAGCTGCCTCAGCTCAGCCAAACGTATCGCATCTGTAGCCTGTACAAATATCCGACGCTGTGACCTGGACTGACTGCTCAGTAAAAAATATACTTTCTTTCCGCCACTGCAATTCCAAGGGTGGCAAAAACCAAGGGAGCTGGTAATAATTTCAAGAATGGAGTACCGATTTAGCAGAAATTTGTTACAACTTGTTTCCTTATTGCAGCATGAAGGAGCTTTAAAAAACAGACATGGACTGGAATTATGGACAAGCAGGAAATCCTGTAATTTCATAAACTAGAGATCATAGGTTAAAGAAACATTTTTATCCTCACAGATTATCAAAGGGATAGATCAACACAAAAACATCAGTGTTTGCAGCAAAGCTGAGAGACCTAATCGGCTTAGTTTTCAATTGCCACTCTCAGTTATATCATGCAAATGTGTCCCAGGACTTGAAAATATAATCTCCCCATCAAGTATTTTTTCCCTCTTGAAAAATTTGATGCCTGAATTCCAAGACTTGAGCTAGCCAACAGCCATGATTAAGAAAGCCTCATGTCAACATCAGTGAAAAAGCTCCTCTGGGTTACAGAAGAAAACAGGACAAAACAGCGTTCCAGTGAGTCTCAGTTTCCTACACGGCAGCAAGTATTAACAGCCTACACACTAACAACAAAGCATGATCTAAGGTTGGGTTTGTTGGGTTTTCTGCTTAATAAACATGAAATCAAAATTTAAAAAATACTGATTTTTTCTTTCTTTCTCCAAATGGACTTTAACAGCACTCTAGGGAAGGAACAGTACCCATCACGGCCGCTATCAGCTACCTGCTGGCTGAACTCTGCAAGAACAGAGCTGCCACCCAGACAACAGCAGTATGCAACAATTACAGCCTGCAATCTGCACAACCATGTTCCGTATGAAACACAGCGCAAGTTCACAAGTGTGACAGTTCACACCAAACGCCATTGACTATACTTATCCCGGGAGAGATTCTGACACAAGTCCCATGGCTGTGTTGGTGAGAAAGATAATGAAGACGTAGGGGCTCTCTCATAGAATAATGCTTTCAGGAGCCTCCATTCTGAAACCAGCATTTGAGGGCTGTCAAGACAGAGTAACCCCACAGTAAACCCTAACTTCTAAACAATATAAAATCTATTGGGAAATTGAAATTCCTAGTGAAAGTCAAACACACTATTGTTCTGTGTTCTCACTGTCTTCCCTTATCATGAATTCATTTGCAAAAGCAAGAGAATATCAGGAGTCCCAAGAGTTTACCGTTCTGGTGATGCATGATGATGCAAAAGGTCCATGGCAAAAGCCATGGAATTTTGCTCAAGATAATCCAATACTGTTTTAACAACAGAATATGATACACAGCAAACAATCACTAATGATTTGCAGAACAGCACAAAAGAAGCACTTCAAAGACTTGGAAATGGAAAACATTAAAAAATTTTCAAAATGTTTGAGCTAGAAGAACTTGATTGATGCTGACAAGACTTCCTTAAAGGTGTAAGAAAGACGATCGTGATACAGCCTGAGCTGTTCAAGAAAAGCCACAATGCAAATGAGCTAATGATTGTGACTTGTTACTCATACATGAGAGAAACTATTAGACCAGGAAAAAGTAAAATAAAAGAACCTGTACACAAAATAACACAGTTCTCTGCCTCAACTATAACCCAGTTGAAATTTGTTGGGGAGAGCTGCACAGGAGACAACTACATCACACATCAGTTCCCAACCAACATGTCTCCTGTAATACAAACCAGCAGCTGTGGCTCTTTGATAATCATAGCTCAAGTCTTACCTCTCTACTCTCTTTTCATTCATGACTTTGCATCCATTTTTACTTAAGATGTTTTATTCTTCTACACTTAAGCTAAAATTTGCAACCTTGGCAGCCTAAAGGTATGACTTTGCATTTATTCAAGAGTTTTACTTTCACATATGCCATAGTTTCTTATCTCCCTCAACTACACACCCCTGTGTGACCTCTTCCTTGTGCAAAAACGGGAGAGAGGACAGTTCTAACTCAGAGCAGTTTTATGATTCAGTTTACTACACTGCTGCAAAAACACTTCTACCAGCAGCATGGGGAGAGGAAGAGCAACACCAAAATCATCCTTTTGATGGTGGTGCCAAGAGTGACCATGAAAGTTTGACTTGCTGTGTCAATTGTAAGATATTTAGATCTGAATCTTTTCCACAAAGGACAGTCCCCAATATGGAGTGCTTCTTGTATTCTGTTTGCTCACTATTTTTTGCAATTCAGTAAAATACAGAATCTTCCTCTGTTTTAACAATAAGCTGGTGACACAAAGACAGGAAAGGCTATTAAAACACGACCAGCTCAACATCCTGAAGTTATCCTGTCCTGTGCAAACTCAAAAAATACCAGTGCTCAAACAATGCTTTTCCAATCTTTCACCCTTATGTGCTGTATCTTTAACAAAATCATAGAATCACAGAATGCTTTAGGATGGAAGGGACCTTTAAAGGTCATCTAGTCCATCCCCTCTGCAATTGGCAGGGACATCTTCAACTAGATCAGGTTGCTCAGAGCCCCATCCAGCCTGTCAAATTATCTTTGTCAAAGTACCTAATTTACAGAAATTAGTTATTTACCATTATGATTAGGTGTGCGTTTCTCATGCTTTGACTCCTCAGAAGTATTTACTGTAAAGTATCAGCATTGCTCTCAAATTGAAAAAAAAACAAACAAACAAACAAAAAAAGAAAAATTCCTTCTTTATAGGAAGTGGAAGTTAATTGGGAGACCTATTCTGTGCCACTGGTACTGGTGCTATAGAAAGATTTGAAAGCATTTTACCTTCTTATATCACTAAAGTCAATATGGATCTGTCTTTCAAAAACAGTGGTTTCATATACATTTGGGCTAGCAAGTGTCATATTTTTATATCATGTTCTCATACAGATTCAGGAAATTGGGCCCATGTTACTACCAAAAAAAAAAAAAAAAAAAGGTGGACTTAAATACCAAGAAAGCTGGCTAAAATGCTATAGCTTCTATACTGTTACCTCATTTTTTAAATATTTGTCCACAGGGATCCAGCACTGGTGACAGGTTGAGGAAAAAAAAAGCAAATCTAATACGTGCACTGCTAAGAGAGTGGAACAGAAGGTCCAGCCTCTGTGTTAGTAGAATTCAGTATCTTAAACATGGATGCAAGACAAAATGAACCAGACAACCAGGAAATCAGATGAACAGTCTGAGACTCTATCAGGTCCAAGAAAGGAACCGCAGGTGCAAGGACCGCTTCAGTCAGAAAAGCCCAGTCAAAAAAATCAGTTTTCTTTTAATTGGTCTTGAAAGCTTTTTGTTTTTAATGTCAAAGAGAGTTCTCCTTCATCATAATGCTGAATGAAGAATTACTTTAATACAGAGATGACCAAAAACCTTACAGACACTACAAAAAGAAAGGAAGACAACATTTCAAGATACAAGAGCCCAGGGCATTGTCCAAACCTCAGCAGACAGGCACCATACCTACACTAGGGAATCCTAAAAAGGTGTTCTCCACTCGTTCTGGTCTACCAGTAGAAATTAGTGTATACAGACGATATCACAATATGATAACATTTACACAGTCATTGCTAGTATGTATACACACACAGATACATAGGATAGTGAAAAGTCAAAAACCTAGAAAGCTATCACCACTTGTGTAATCATAGATGCCAGTAGCTAAGGTAAAAGTCAAAGCACTCCAGGAAAGGGGCTTCTTCCCATCCCCATAGCATGGTTGAGGATTTGTGGCTTTAAGTCCTTAATGCTGACAAAGAAAAAAAAAAAAATTGCTGGGAATACCAGACTTTATGATTAATTTCACAGACAATGACTAATATAAAGAAAAAAGAAAGAGGGAGGCTACCAGTTCATTAACTTCTGCTGAAAAACAGCCCTCGACTACCCTTATCATTCTTCCAAAATCTCTTCGCTGCAATTGACTTTTATCTGGACAACTGTCCCGAGCTGATTTAACTTCTTTAAGGTTGTTATTATTATACTTGTCATAAAATGTTGGAGAAAAGAAGAATTCCCATTTGTTCATTGTATGATTTGTTGTGCATTTGATAAAACTATGTGCATAGGTTAACATTTTCAGTATTTCTCCTTCTGCTTGCATTGAATTTTTAGTTCTTTCCCTATTTAAATACTTTTTCATCTGGCTAAATAAGAAATGAATAGTGTTTCTCTCAGCATATCTTCCTCAACCATGCAGCCCCCAATCTCTCAATGAAATAAATAAACACTTTTTGCTCTTATTTATTACACAGGCATAACCAAAATTAAGAAAAACATACAAATGCAATTTATGGTCACAATATGGAAAAATATCTTTATGGCTCCTCATCTCTCCTTGGCCTACCAAGCAATTTTCTATTAGTAGAAGCCAGGGGTTTAAAAAAAAAAATTCCACTCCTTCACACCTTTCAGCTGAGAACAGAATACAATTCCCATACGGCTGGGGGGGCAGGGGAAGCCACCAATCAGACCTTTGAGACCAGCAGCAGCAATGAAAAGTCTGTTGGTATCCGCACAGAAAAAAATCCTATGCCACAGGTATTAGGTAGTCCCTCTCAACGCAATGCAATACTTATTTCCAGTAAACCATGACCAATTACTTAAAAAGACACACATTTAGCAGTGTTTACTCAGCCCAGGGAAACATCAAGAACATGAAGAAATGTACTGGTTTTAAACAGATTATACCTCTTATACAGGAGAAACACCCTTTTATTATCAACCACTTCACCCACAATGTCTATTTGATAAATAACTTCTTACATACGTATAATCTTTCTCTTCTTCACTTCCATTATCTCAAAGGAGCATGATATTTGTTTACCAGTACTGATAAGACAGATCATTCCCAAATGTGTTCATCAATTATCATCAACTAGCAGCAACACTACTTTTGGATTACTCTCATTTGCCTGAAGAAAGGACATAAACTATCAGGACCTATCAGGAGGTAGAAGCAAAAATTATCAGTAGCTCAAAAATTGTGGATAAAATACAAATAATTCAGGAGACAAAATTCCCCAACAGATTATAATCTTCAGCATTGTCATCTGCTGTGTAAAACCAGAATATGTGGCTTTATGTTTACTTCGCTTCAAGAACGATGATGTGAAAAATGTATTAAATTTACATGACATTTCTTTTGAACCTGCTTGGCCTTATTAAAAATTCTGCCAGCGTACAGTTTAAATGCAAGCATGGCCTGCCTTGCCCTGTACACGTCACCACAGCAATACACACACAGCCTCTCTCCTTCAACACAGCGCAGTATCAGCCCCTGAGCATTCTCCTACCTAGCACCAGATCCCTGTAGTCCTAGCTGTGCTCGACTTCAGAGCAAGCTCCCTACCCCACTCCACTCTTCCTAGATTTACTAAGGTGCCCCAGCCCGATGCAGTACATTTGGAGAACCATTACTGTCAGCATTGCTATGCCAGTGCTGCCCAGATCACCTCCTCTAGCAGCCTGATACAGGACACTTAATAGCATAGGTTTAAAAAGAGAGATCTCACACAGATAAGCATTTTCCAAACACCAAGCTCCAGCTCCTGAAATCTAGCTGACATAGAAAGCAAATGAGAAGTAACCTTGTTCTCCTGCAAAACCATACTACTCTAGTGCTGAGTACTACAAACACGCTGTTCAGAAAAGGGCATTCTTTCTGCATAGCGGATTAAGTACATCTACTTAAGAGAGAGTTTTAAACTCTAAAAAAAACAAAATGAAGGCTTGAAAAAATCTCTGTCGTGTTTACAAACTCAGAAAAAAATTATTAGAAATAATAATTGGAAATCATAGGAAAAAATATTTCCTATCTTCAGTTCACACACTGCTGTTCATGTTCCATTGCTGCTTTTTCAATGCTCATTTTCTTTTCTCTCATCAGTCCGTTCTATGCTTCTCACTCTTCCTGAACAGCATCCTCTCCACTCAACGGCATCAAAACGCCTTCCACTACCTTCTTACTCCCCTTCTCACTAAGTTCTCATACATTCACACCCACAACTTCGTGTAGGAAAAACTGAAAATTTATCAAGTAATAGCTATAGGCTAAAAGGAAAATAGTGGGAAAATTAGGGTTCTAGTGAGGGATCCACAGTTCAAACTGAGAAGTCAAACCAATTCCTTGGTTACAGGTAAGCATCAGGTCTATCTCCAGCTAAGACAAGACTGAAATTCAAAACTTTTGACTGCTAGAAAACAACCTCCTCTCCTGCCTGCTCACTGCTCTCCCCGGTGACAGAGTTTAGATCCCATATTGCTGCTGCTGCAGCTCACAGTTCTCCCAAAATGCAAGAAAATAAGTTATATTTAATTATATGTTAATTTCTTTCCTGCCCAAAATTAACTTCAATGAAAATTGAGAAGTAAAATTTTAATCTGAAGCACAGGAAAAATAATTATCAAAGCAAGCAATAGAATTGTCTGGGCAGATTTAAGAAGCTTTGGTTGATGTGTTCTAAATAATCTCAAGCAGCAGCTACACTTGAAGCTTCAGTTTCTGCTGGACTGGAGTTATTTACAAAAACTAAAATCAACTAGCTTGCTATTAACAGTTTAGATGAAGAAATGGACTACTGAGCCCTAAAAATCAAGGAATAGTAGAATTTTATCAGCATTTTGAAAAATTACTGCATTTCACCATTTCTTTATTCCCACAGTGCCTAAATACTTCACCATTTACAAGAGTAGCAGTCATGTTGGTTCTGAACAGTCTCGTACAGCGCTTCCAAACGGTAAAGGTTCTCCATTGTTGCTTTCCTGTTATTGTTAAAAACTGAAAGCTTCCTCATCAGGAAGTCCTTTCCTTTGTAATCTACTTGGAAATGAAAATAAACAGACTTCATCCCCTCTGGCTGTGTGCAGACAATTCCCGCTTTAAATAAAAAAGCCCCACCACCAAAATCGAACATCTATCAAATCATGGAAAATGCCTCAACAATACCATTCCGTTCATCTCAGAGACATACCCATGTATTCCGGCTGCTGTATCTGTCCTGTTGCTCAGGAGTGACCCTGTGCCACTTAACCGATCCTGCCGGCGTTGATAAAGTTTGGAGGATGCCAGCCCCCGAAGTCTCAGGCCAGCCATGGCACCCAATACCACTGCGAAGGGGAATGCAGAGAGACAACTGGAGCAAACACTAGCGACACTGATATTCAATGAGTCACCTTCCTTTTGGGAGTTGCCTTTACATTTTAGAAGAGCTAAAGCAGGATGCATAGACCCTTGCTTGAGCATTGTTTCTTACAATTCATCTGCCATTCTGCTACAGTCTTAAAGATCAGACAACCTCTTTCCTGTATTCCACTAGTAATTACCTATTTAAGCCAGCACACCAGGAGTCTATATCACCAACTCATTCTGTGTTAGACTTGCATAATGTATCTATATAAATTTCATAAGTGAGATTAAAAAAAAATAAATATCCTGAGTCTTCACATAATTAATCCATTTAATTCAAGAAGGCATTCTGATCAAAGCAACAGAAAAATACAGAAAAGCAAAATAGATTACTAGATCTTTTGACAATGAACACTTTAGTTTACTGCAGATCAGTATCTGACCCTGGCATGCTGCATGACGCAATGTCTTAAGGATACTGCAAACAACAGAACTGGTCCTTCCATTTTGATAAAGCATATTCCAAGAAACAAAACCATGAAGACTTTTGCTCTCCGGACGCACTCCAGCCTGCAGAAGTGGCATGCAGTGGAGGGTCAGGAAGCAGGGAGAAGGGACATACTTGGCATTCCAGCCTCCCGAGCTCTCTACTGGGAACTGAACAGGGCTTTCAAACAGGAGTTTGCCCTTTCTACCACTCCCCCTCTCCACCCACCCCTGCCAGAGAGAAAGAGAATCACACAGCACAAATGGCTTGGGCCTGGTGTAAGGGGGTAGAAAGAGTAAAAATTTGAGAATACAGAAGTCAGTTTTTAAGAAAACAAAGGGAAAGGACTGGAGGATGGGAGCATCTGAGTCAGTGTCATCTGATCAGCATCGCCATGAAAAACAGCTCAAGAGTCATTACCAACAAATTATTTTTTAATAAATTATAAAAAAATGAGGATTTTTGTAGCATGAGAGTGAAATATATTCCATGACTACAGCCTGGCAAGCTGGAGGGGGGGGAGGGGGGAGAAGTGATGACTTCATAAGTACTAAATGAGTATTAACCAGCAGAGCTCCCGTCTGTCCTTTAAAGAAAGGGTTTACTGGGACCCAGCAGAACAGGCACAAATAAAGAACATCATACTTTCGAAATCGGAAATCACTAACCTCAAAATCTAGAATTCACCCCACATTTCATTGGGAGTTTTAGGCTCCTGACCTCTGACAGCACTCTGCCACTATAATTTCTTTCAGATTGCATGTGTGCTTTATCCATTTCTACTTTATGATGTAAATGGAACAGAAAAAGAAAAATGTCCTCCATACCGGGTGTTTTTGCTGACCTTTTAAATTTTAGAGCCATAAATCACTTTTAAAATGTAGTATTAAATCACCTTTTTACTTTTAGCACAAAGGAAAATATTGAATCACTGCAACATTAATCTCCCTTAACCTTAAGAAATCTGGCTAAAAATCTCCTTCTCTCTCAAACACCTAAGCTTTTACCCTTCTGACTCATACGACATGATTTTATTGGTTTTCAAATAACCACTCTTCCACAGAAAAGTATGACTCTCTTCTTCAAAAGGGAAGATGAGGGGGTTGAAGGAAAAAAACATCAGAACAATAACCATCCTGTCTTCCCATCTCTCAACACAAGCTTGCTCACTCACTCCTCTCTTGCTGCCTCACACATAAAGAGTGAAAATGCATGGGTTTGTTTTTCTTTCCCTCTTGACAGATCACTTTTAAGGGACAGGATTGATGCCAAAATCTTACAGCTGGTTACTTTCCGGGCCAAAGCAGAGAAGAAAGCAGCTAGACTTCTTTTAGGCATTAACAAGTAGTTCTCCTCAGAGAAACACCTCTCTGTCACCAGAACAGACTACTAAGGATCTTCCAACAAGTTAAAATTTATCTAGAGAGCCTTAGAGAGCAGATTTACATGGAAAGATAATAAGATTAAAAACAGATTTTTCAACCCAGAAGAGCAGAAACAGCTGCTTATAACTCAGAGAGATGAGACATCTCTTAGTTTGATGCAGGTACTTTCTAGTTAGTGCAAAGAACTTTTCTTAATATTATCGACCTTTACACTCCCTCCTCCTCCTTCAAACCATTTTACTTGCAATCGCTTCATAAAATGGAGCACATGCACAGCAGCAGCTCTCTACTGAATGAAAAAGCATCTAGTCAAATGCTAGCCTAATCAAAAATAATATACTCTTATTTCTTACCTCAACTAGATTAGGAACAATCAATAAGCATATCTGTAAATGCAGCTGTTCTTCTTTTGTTGACTGCAGGAAGTACATAGGCGTATCCAAATCCCAGTTAGACCAAGTATAGTGATAACAGAAATTTCTTACAAAAATAATCATGCCCTGAAACATGCACTTAGGAAACATTTTTCCTTGGGATTTGTACTAGATTAATTTCTAAAGGCAATATAAAACAGCACAGGCATTTTTTACCTGTATGTTTTTTAATCAACACCACAGCAGTAAAGTCTTAAAAGAAATTATCTTCAATTCTGGCTTATTTTCTACTTTGGGCATTTGACAATGTTTCGTTCACTGGTCCTTCACTGATCCTCTTTCTTAGGAATAAGTCCATCACAAACAACAAAGAAAACAGGGCAAAATAGCAAAAAACCCAAACCCCAAAAAACCCCCAACAACCAACCCCCCCCTCCCCAAACCCAACGATCCTTGAAAAGGCAAAAATCAAAATGGAGAGATGGACCAAACACATCAAATACAAATTATAGAAGCAGTCTTCACTTATTTATTGGTAAAGAAGTATCATAGTATACTTCTAAAGGCACGAAAAATCACATAAATTGTATTTCCCAACACTGCAAAATACGGAAAGGCTGCTCAGAAACATACTGGTTTTATATCTAACACATTCTCTCTTTGTATATACAGAGTTTATTTGCACATGTGGTTAAACATGTAACTTAATAAAACTAAAATACATATATGTCTAATTTCTTTCTGTCCTATTATCTTTGGATCTTAGTTGGAACAGATATATTCAAAGAAAGGGTGATTTTAATTTTTTTTTAAGTTAACAGCACCCCTTTACACCACAGACTGTTCTTGAAATCAGGGACTGTAACAGCCACTTTAGTCAAGACAGAGAAATAAAATAGCTCAGCCAAGACACAACAGTCAGAATTACTATTTGCAAATTCCAAGGATCTACTTATTTTCTCTAACAAAACACAATCCTCACATCATAACAATGTAACTCGTGATATGTGTAATGTTTGAATTTCATTTGCTACATAGTCACCTATTTTTAATAATTTTCTACTATAAATACATAGAAGTGCATATCTTTCTTTGTATTTTCTGGAATTATATTTTTTCCTAATGCTAAAATACAGTAAATCAAATTACTGCAGCTTTAAATTCAGGAGATACCCTCTGCAGCTAAATGGGACAGAACACTTAAAAAATGGAGTTCTTTTTCATCTATCTTAGTTACTAATAATGCATCAGTAATCACAGTACCTAAAAGTGAGTCCTTTTGTGTTTCTATTTGACAAGAAAGGTGAAGTGAAAAAGAACAATGTATCAGCACCTCATGTTCTCCAGTCTTCCTTGCTTTAACACACCATAACACAACAAAATCATTCCCTTCCCTGTGTCAACAGTTTCAAGGCCGGAGGCACATTTATGTCATGTTCCTGGCTCTGGAAGGTTTCCATTGATCGATATTGTAGTGATGCTCCAGCTGTGAAACAGATCATCTCCTTCCAGAACCATGAAAACCCTCAATCTCAAAAGCTGGAGAACATTTGATTACATGTTGGCAGATTTTAAGAACTACCATGTAAACAAACATGGAGCAACATCTGGCCACAGTTCAGTAGAGTGACCTGTAGGTGGATCTGAGGAAGTTCGTTCTCGATGCTGAAATCTTTCTAATGATTTAGGAGTCTGTCCCAGACTGAAAACAACACTAAACACGGTGCTTGACAAATGGCATCGGTCATGCAAGGTGCTGCGCAGTGCAATGTTTCACAGACACTGGAAAGTACGGGTTCTGTTTTGCTGGGAAACTGCTACCCTAAATGGATTATACCATTACTGAGGAAAAAGTCAGCTGAATTACAGCTATGATAAACGTCTCTGATAGAACAGTTAATCGTTCTGTCCTAGGAAGGACAGCTGACAGAAATTTAGAAATTTTCATAGCTGACAAACTTTCCAGGACAAACACTTCTGAAAACATTAAGTAACACTTGCATTCACTCTTCAAAAGCTAAAGCCAAGGCCTGCTCATTTTAACAACCTTCTGAAGTACATCTGAGGAAAAGGAGACAGAAATCCTACGTTACTTTGAAGAACTGCACACTCTGCAGTGTCTCAACTACCTTGGAACTCTCCACCCAGCCTCGTGCTTCACGTCAGAGCTTCTCACCGAATACAGTGTTGTACCTTAACAGGCAGATTTCTGAGGAAGCACGGAGAGAAGACAACAAGGATTACTGTCCACAGGCATTTCCCACTGTCCTCTGCAGCTGAGTGACCTCACCTGAGGTAAACATGTCATTCTAAACAGTACTACACCACAGTTCTATAAAAATAAAATCAGCTGGGTTCATACAGCCACAATTCTTCCCAGGTCCTCCTCATCTTGTCCCCATTTAGGAGCTGCATGACCTGTGAACGTTTAAGACTCTTGAGTCTTCCTCTAGTTGTAAGGAAATTAATGTAAACTTGTAAATACACACCTATTTCACATGGCAGAAGAACAAAAAAGGGACCATTAAGACAGAAAAGACAAAGTAATCTAAAGACAGGAGGCAAAAAACCAGAAGTGTTTTGAGCATGTAACCCATCAATTTGTCATCAAACAGAGCAAAAATAACTCACCCAAATCACAGATGATGATATAACAATTATTCAGCACGTTCTCATACCTAACAACCCACCAAACATGATCTACGTTGAATAATCATAAGA